AGTATCATACGAATCAAACAGAGAACGTATTCTCAAGAGAATGACATGTTGCCTGAAATGAGAAAACAATACACCCAAAATAAAGAAGACCAAAGAGGTTGTGCGACGAAAAAAGAACGCTTGGACTTTCCATCTTCATAGACTGTTCGGAGACAATCAGAGTCAATTATCAAATATGCGACATATACAAATATTTACTGTTGTGGCATCTTTTTGGACATCATTTGCGTTACAGATGTTTTATTTGACCACAAGTTTGACAAATGCTACTGCACGGAATGTCACGCATCACGCAACGAGAAACTCTACTACACACAAGGCAAACCAGCCAAGGACTATTCCATACCGATAGGATGGGCTCGATCTGCACTCAAGTAAATACAATTGTCATTCTGTTAAGTGCCATTATTTTTAGCCGTAACACCTGAAATATGAATGTTATGCTTGCTCTATACGCCGATGCACTAATGTTATCTCAGTTTAAACATTTTAAAACTATTTAAAAGCAAAATATTCATTTTTTTATTGGTTAACTCGTATACAGGATGGAAAGAACGGCTCTAGTACACAATTGTAACAAAGACTGGCACGTCGCTTACCATGGTACTTCTCCAGACAGTGTGAAGTCAATACTCGAAGATGGAAAACTTCTTATGCCAGGTAGGATCACTATATCTCAGTTATGCAATCATCGCGTCCACTCGGGAAAGCTCCGATAACAAATCCATGCTCCATTAACCCGGGGGGACAGTCCGTACCTTTTAGTAGTCTCCTACGCAGCCGCTATTAGTGTCGTCACGCAACGCTCACTCCCCTAAGTGCATCCCCGCCCTTCCTATATATGGAAGCACCCACATCCCAGCCTCGGGTCCAATACGTTGAGCTAGTCTGGTGTGGATAAAGCCCTCTACTGTTAGGAACACATAATGAGGGATTTCAAGACTGCCATTTTGAACGGTGGGAAAACTCAGTATAATGTTTGTGCATTAGAAAAGATTTCATTTCACCAAGGTAAAAAGTACAAATATTTTGCCCTCAACGTGGCTGGCGTAAAACCACTATATTCAGTATATACCTAATTCAAAAAAAACGTTGTCGTCGCCAGAGGCGATAGGCGAAAAGCGATAGGATTTATGTCATTCCAAGATCCAAAAATAGCTGGAATGACTTGTGTTTCTTCTTCGTATTCTCGTCAAGAACAAGGACCTTCGTGCTGAAACTGACTCCATGTTCTTTGTATTCAACGAAACGATTTCCAAGTCGGAATGGCCTATCGCCTATCGCCTTTGGCGATGACAACGTTTTTTGAATTAGGTGTACACTGGATACAGTATTCAATATACGTTTCCTTACCCTCTTTTGTCTGTCAGTGTTCATTCATAGTTAATTCACTCATCTATTTTCATTTGTTTGTTCATTCTTTCTTCTTTTTCTTTTTTTCACTTTCTGTTTGAATTCTAATCGCCTTTTTTACCTGATTCTTCCAATAATAGCCACCATAGCCATCATCTTAAAGTTAATTACCTGAAGTTAGACCATTTTCTAGACCATTTTCAAATCCGTACAATAGTGTTCCTTGATAACAGACTGCTTACTAAGGGCCATTTTACCGTTAGAATATTCACAAATACAAACGGTAACACTTTGCAATTCCACGGACTTTCACTGGAACACGTGAATATTCTACACAAAATCAAGGCTAACCCTAACCAACAGGGAATTCGAAACTGGAATATTAACTTAATAATAACATTATCAGGTGACGAGACTCTGGAAGGAAGAAGATTATCTGAGGTAGATGGACACTTTACCGATGACAACAAGCCTGAAGGATTCAACACCAAGCAGATCTTCGTATCACCAAGTATTCGATACTCTGGGCTAGAAGTCTACGCTAAGTCCAAGAGGTAAGTCCTTTACAAGTAGGTCATGAAGATACAGTCATCAATTGTTTTTTCTTTTTATTAAATGGAAACCTTTGATTATGGAGGCATTGAACTTGGAAGGATAATTTTTTTGTTATCTATCATACATTTCCCATCCTCCATTTTCTTCAAGACTGTCTTTCTCTGTCGTTCGCCACTTTTTCTTTCTTATTATCGAGAACACTTTGCTCGTGTGAGTGACATACTTTTGGATTCCGAAAAATCTTTTCGGTTTATTAGGATGCCAAATGTCATGGACTTGCAATAAAAATACTGTTTATTACTTTACGTGAGGGATGCATGGATTCACCAATACCAAATTTAATGTTGGTCAATTCACAGAATAATATCCCTAAATTTCCAATACCCATTTTCAGTCTTGACGTGAAAGATTTTGCACAATATCCGCGTCCATATCCGCCTGACTATTATATAGATGCAGTCTAGGATCACTCACATGGGAGAATCATGATCAGTGTGCATGTATCACTGGCACTTTCTTAATACGTTTCACAATATAGTATGTATCAATGCATTAAAGTAAAAATAACATTCGGCGCAAGGGGTCATCAATTAACCATATGCTATTAAGATATATTATGATAGTATAAATAAAAGCATCAATCAAGCACCTAAGCAGATCGTCAATAATTCACCCGCATGATTTATCTTAAAATATTAAGTAACGAGCTTCGATGTTATAAGTAGAAGTTAGAATGATATAAGAAGATTTCAGCACATGCACGATACAATATAGTTATATCAATAAAATAATACAAAGCCTTTGCTTATGAGAAACGATATATCACCAAACAGTGAATAAAATTCATAATGAGATAGACTGCACTCTTGGGGACGAATATTGACTTCATATGATCCCTACTTTCTATTGTTTTACAAAGGATTCACGTGTTACATAAATGAATCTAAAGGCTTTTGCGGACAATTTTGTTATTTTACCAGGTTCGAGGATCCACAAACRAAGAAGACCTATAAAGCCAAGGTTGTTTTTCAGTTGTGGATCAAACCTGACAGCTACAAGGTTGGTCAACAGACCGTCGGTGCCGAAAACGAGATTGATCCGAAATTCAGCAACCAGGAAATCGAATGGGCAACAGCACGAAGGAGTGCCATTCATCTTTATGGGGTTCTTGTACACCTCGAAGAATAAATAGAAACATTTATCTTCAACTGTAGATCATGCGGGACAAGCCTGTCCAAAATATAGCTATTATCTCTCGCATATGTAGTTCTACAAAACGATACTGAGAACATGGCTGTCAGCGTAAGGGATTTTTTAGTATTGGTAGCTTTAATCTCTCTGCAGAGGATTATTGCATGAGGGAAAAACTTTTCAACTTCACCAGGTAGAACATTAATGAATCCGTCAGTAAAATAGTTT